TATAAGGTCAGTTTGAGCGGGAAAATTCAAGGTGGCTAAGGAGAGATAAATATCGTCTGGCCAACGAGAAGTAGATTTGTCTCACTAACGATAATTTGTGATCGCCGGAAGTGCTATTGCGTCGTAAGGTGTTTTCCTGAATGAACTGATACGGGATACATTCATTGGCGCTATGGATTCGGACGCCATTTATTGGACTATTAAGTTTAATATCTTGACTCGTGGGTACCTAAACGTTTAGTATTTTAATATTAATTTAATGCAAATGTATACATATCCAATAATACTAAACAGAAAAAATAAATATATTTAATAAAAATCTTTGTTTTAATGAATGTACAATGTTGCAGCTCGGTAAATACGCCAACACTGAAATGAAAATCAGTCTAGCATAGGGAAAATTGGGGAATTACACCTCAAAATGGCGAATTGCGCAGTGGCGTTATTGTGAATTGGCGTAAACCGAGGGCTACCTGTACCTTCATTTTGATTATAGTCAGAATCTTCATAATCAGCATATCCATTTGGACAATATGCTTCAGATTTCTGAATAAGCATATTATGGAGAACACAACTAGCAAGCACAATACTTTTGACTGATTTGTTGTCATAATTTGATTGTTTCTGTAAGATATGAAACTGTGCTGCTAGTATACCAAAAGCATTCTCAACAACATGCCAGCCTCTGCTTAATCTATAATTATGTATTTTTTCGAAGTGACTAAAATCAGAATTTCTGGGATAGAGACGCAACAAATTATGTCTTAAAGGAAATGCTTCATCCCCAATTATAAAATAAGAAAACAGTTTATGTGAATTTTGAAAAGCATCTGCCTTTGGAAAGGTCAACTTTTCATTGATCAGATGCTGACCAAATACACTTTTTCTTAATATTCCACCATCTGATTTGCTATCATAACGTCCATAATCAATCATGAGAGAGTGATAGTTTTAATCAGATATGGCTAGTAAGATTGTACTAAAAGTTCTCTTATAGTTATAATTGAGACTACCACTGTTCTTTGGACACTCTCAAATAACATGCTTTCCATCAATACTACCACAGCAGTGAGGTAGTTGCCATCTTCTTTCAAAACCATCAGAAATTTTTTCCAATCTGCTGGAATTGATGGAAATGCCAAATATTCCTTCTGGAAACATTTCCAAATAGCTTTGCATGTTTCTAGTAAATTTTTCATACAGTCTGCCTTCCAATTCAAAATGAAAAGCTCAAACTTCGGTAGGTCTCTCTGGTTGCTAGAAACCTGTAAAATAGTTTTTTGTCAGAATATACAAAGAAAAAATTAAGGTAATAGTAATTTTAGTAAGTTATTGCAATAGGTCAAAATAAATATTAAAAAAGTTAACTATATCTCTTAAATGAAAAATGTAAAAGCAGTGTTTGTGCTAGAAATCATCAATAACAGAACAATTATTATTAAATTTACAGCAATTACAAGGGTATGTCACATGAAAACTTTTGTGACTTTATTCGCAAATATCAGACTAAATAATAACAACATATAGACTATTTACCTTAAAGTTAAAGCCAATCTTTCATTCGATGATATACTTTTGTGCCAAAATGTGTCTTTCTCCTTTATCAAGGGAAAAACCTTCTCCAATATATTATCGAATACATCAGGAGTCATCCACATAAAACTGAACGGAATATTATTTTAATATTAATATATGTACACATACTATTCAACACATAATAAATATAATAGTTAAATTGCATATTTACTCGAAGTAAAATTCTTGATCCCAAAACCTCAACTCTCTAACGAGGGAAGAATTCAGTCCATATTTTTCTCTGTCACGGAATATTTTCCTCATCCAGAAACGATGATTTTGGTGAGGTTTCGAATTCATAAACAATTTCATTGTTAATAAATGCAGAAAAAGCATGGCAAAATCTGTAGCGTCATCCACATTTGTATCTTTATGACAATTACTAAACTGATCAACAGATGGTGTATTTCCGCGTAACATTCATTTCAGTGCTAGTGGAGTCTAAAAAAAACTCTGTATGTTTCAGTTCTGTTTCTGAGTTTCTGTTTTCAGGTAATGTGGAGTCCAGGATTTACTATTCCTAATCACTAATATGCTTAATATATTTTTTCTATTAAAAATGTTTTCATTTGTTATATACTTGTTCCTTCTAATTTTTAAATGTACAATCAGACTACAGTTTCTCTGCTTGAAATGTTTTCTCATCAATTAACAAGCACTTTCATTTTTCTATTATTTTCTGTTTTCAAACATTCTCAAGAATAATGTCATAAAACAAGATACATATACTAATCTAAATATATAAAATTACTTGTCCTGACTGAGTGATTGACTGGAACGTTTACAATCGTTCTATAATCAAACCAATACGCAATAACAAATTCAAATTTAAAATGGTTTGAACATTTGGTTAAAAAATCAAAATATATAAAAATATTTATAACAATGTCTGAAATGTTATCAATTTAATACACCTAAGTACTCAATGAAGACTAAACATAATTGTAAACAAAAAATTGCATCTAAAATAGTACAGTAGAAGCCGTTCTTCAGGTTAAGCCTTAATGCTCTCCCTCTCCCCATGGAGGAATTTCAAAAATTCCTTCTTAATGTGCATTCTCATGATATACCCTAACTGTGTACCAAATTTCACCTCTTTAGGTTCAGTGGTTTGCCCTGGACGATGATGAATCAATCAGTCAATCACTCAGTCAGGACAAGTAATTTTATATATTTAGATATATTTGAACNTTCCAGCCATAAAGAATCTTCCACAGAACTGTAGTTGTTTTTGGAACCTTATAACTCTACTCATACAGTTATGTGAGTCAACACAACTGTATAAGTTTAAGGAGATGACTACGTTTTATTCTTGGTGATTGGGCAAGGCAGAAGAATGAAAATGACTTAGTTTCTTCCATATTTTAAATTGTAAAATATACTGTATGCCATTTTTAATTTGAAAATATATGCAATACCTTCATTTTTATATCTAATCACCATTTTTTCCCAAGCATGTTCGGTATTACGAAACAGGTTTCTTTATGCCCTGTGTAAAATTCTGCTGCCTGCAAGTTTAACCAATCCAACACTGCAATTTCTTTAAATCATTGAGATGTAAGCCACCTTTTAAGTGCAGCAGGAGGTGATAGTCACCGTGTACAAGGTCAGGACTGTAAGGGTGGGTGTTCAAACAGTTCCCATTTGAATCATTGAAGAATATGAACAGTGGAGGCAGCAGAGTGTGTGTGCGCGCGTGGAATTGCTATAATGTGTGCATGCACACACATTATAGCAACTCCAGATGTCAGAAAAATCAAGAAAGTTAAAAAGATAACTATAAATTTTATCAAAGTTTATACAGTGGTGCCTCGTATAACGTACGCCTCGAATAACGGACGCTGCGAATAACAAACTTTCTGTTTGACCGTTACGTGACTCGAGCAACGGACTTGCTGCGAACAACAGACTTTCCGTTCGGCAGTTACGTGAGACGAACAATGGACTTTCTTCGAACAAGTGCGAATGATGTTTCCACTCTTTTGCCGTTGCCAATGACAATCTGCTATTTTTAGGATATATTAGTATTATTAGAATGTATTATTAGTATATCTGAAGTAGAAATGTAATGTAATATATGTTGATGATTTAAATAAACATTAAATGTAATGTAATATATGTTGACGATTCAAATAAACGAAATGTAATTGTGTAGATGCCGAGGTGGCGGGACGAAAAGAGGTTGTAAAAAACAAACGGAGCGAGAGTAGCTCGTAGAAGTGTTTAGTGATCTTAATTAATAAAGAATTATTCGTATCATATAATCTGGCAAGTTAAGTCATTTATAATGCATCATGGCTTCTAAAAAAACAGAAAGGTGATTTCAATTGAAACAAAGCAAGAAATCATCAGGAGTGAAAGTTGACAAAAACTTTCTTGTCGAATGGGGAGAGGTTCAGGAGTTTACCAACACTCATTATCCAAACAGAGCTGAGGCCAACAGGATCAATGATCTCTACGATGACACCTTTGTCCGTCATTTCCGACAGGTGTTAAAGAAGAAAGAGAAACAGACCACCTTGGTCATGTTTTTCAAGAAGCCAGCGGGCAAAAAACAAAGGATGGAACAAGAGAAGTTGACCCTGCAAGTTCCGGTAGCCTCTCCTGAATCTGACTCCGATTAAAAAACAATAAAACGAGACCTGCTGCAATGTGTAAAAAGTCTATATCTGTATGAATGTGTAAAGAAAGTGTTCTTCCACCTCCTCCTCACAACATCTGACTACCCGGCATAAGTGGTGTCTGCTCCATTTTCATTTTTTATGGTACAGTACGGTTATTTTATTCTGCGGAACGAATTATATGTTTTAACATGTATTTCTATGGGAAAATGCGTTTCGTATAACGGACGTTTCACTTAACGGATGTGCACCTGGAACGGATTAAGTACATTGTACAAGGCACCACTGTATATTTTTAATATAATTTAAATTAACTTTTATATTATTTTATTTTAAAGTAAAAAGAAAAATCTGATTTATGTCCTAACTTTAACAGATATAATAATGTCTTCATACTTCATATGCCAGTTTGGAATTTTCATGTAGAATTTTGTATCAACTAATCAAAAATCATATTTTCAGAAATGTCTTTTTACAAAAAAGAAAGTTTATATTATATTGAACAGTTAACCAAAAATAAATTTTTAAAATTTCTCGATGTACATCAGCTCAATGTGCATCTATCTGTATGGATTGTATAAATGGATAACAACAAGGTAAAAGCAGATGTTACACTTATACAGCATTAATTATCGTAAATATTAAGTTTATTCATATCAACTTTGTATATTTCAAGTTTCAACCTTGTGAAATGTAAATTATAACAAAAATTACACATACTAAATAAAATATGATTTAGTCTAAAAACTGCATCAAAAATATTTAAGAAAATATTAAAATTATTCAGAAACCTGAGTTACTTACACTGTTCGACTTAAATCTCTTCGTAATTTCAACATTTTTTCATATGAAGTCTCGTCATTTTTCCTATTCTATTATAAAAAATAAAAATAAATAAATATTAAATAAAATTTAGGATATTATCCAATGTTCAGAATTTATCATTATAACTTTTCATAAAATATAAGACACATTCAATAGAAAACCAGAAAAGTGGCATTAAAAGTTGGAAGGACAAGCAATAGCATAGTAATTTTGACACACACAACTTCAAAGTCAAAGGCAACAGTAACTGACTGACAACACTATTTATGCAAGAGAACATAAGATAGCAAACCAATAAAACAACAGTTTCTCTCCAGCAGCAAATGAAGCAAGTGTGGTTTAGTGTTGTCTGATTTTTAATAAAAAAAAAAAAAAAACTAGTTGGTATCCATTGGCACTTGCACATTAGAATAAGATGACTACATACTTTGCACACAGGTGTACAAGTAGAGAGTTCCTAGATTCCAAAATCAGTCATAGTTCTGTGGAAGATTCTTCATGGCATTCACTGCAATTCCAGCCATAAAGAATCTTCCACAGAACTGTAGTTGTTTTTGGAACCTTATAACTCTACTCATACAGTTATGTGAGTCAACACAACTGTATAAGTTTAAGGAGATGACTACATGATTAGAGTCAACTCTAAATATCATGTAGTCATCTCCTTATTGTACCTGCATGTGCCAATGGATGTCAATTTTTTTTTTTGTCAAAAATCAGAAAAAACTACATTGCACTTGCTTCATGCACTGCTGGAAAGGTGTTGTCATTTTATCAGTCCATTGTTTTATGTTCTTGCACATCAACAATGTTGCCAGTCACAGTTACTGTTGCTTCTTACTTGGAAGTTTCATGTGTCAAAAGTAATATAATGTTGCTCATCCTCCTAACTTTTAATGACACTTTTCTGGTTTTCTATTGAATGAGCCTTGTATATGTTACCAATATATAAAACTGAAAGTTACTTATAACTTTATTATTGTAAAAAAAAGTATTTGAATTTCAAAACTACAAAATCTTGTCAGTTTTGATAAAAATTACATTTAAATATATAGTAGAGCATCGTTTATCCGAATCAATTGGGGACTGGGGTTGTTCAGTAAATCGATATTTCAGATAACTGATTATGTACAAAAAAATATATTAACCTATCCCATGTTGAAATTTTTCTCCGTTGTGTGTCACTTTGCGTTGAATTTTTGTCGATGTTAAGCCTAACGAAGACTATTGTATTGTTAAAAATTATTTTTTTATTTTGTACAAACAAAATAAATATATTGAAAAATATAAAAACAATAAAAAATTATACTTCAGAAGTTAATTTAGTATCAAAAACGTAAAATATTTGAGTAGCCCAAGACATAGCCAAAGATTGCAGCGCCACAGCACTGGCGAAAATTTAAATTTGCCGACTGGAATTCTTTCAGATAATTGACGTTTTGGATAACTGACTTTCGGATAAATGACGCTCTACTGTACTTGAACTTGGGTTCTATATATAGACTAAAATAGTCTTTATATACAAAACCCAAGTTCAAGTTATACACCAACCAATGCCAAATATTATCAAGCTAGAAACAGCTATAATATTAATAATTTATAAGACAATTTGGCACTAGAGTTAGGCATAGGTGTCATCTCTTGATAAATTTAATTATAATAATTTTAATTAAATAATTTAAAACTACTAGAAGAAAAGAATCAGCCTGAAGTGGGACTTGAACCCACAACTCCTGCTTATTGTGCAGATGCATTGTCAATTACGCTAGTAATGATGTTTGTGTATTTATATATGCCTTGCCAGGGTTTGCAATGGCCAGTTGAGTGTCCTGGGTGATGTTTACAGAACAAGGGCACTGAATGCATCCCCAACTGGCATTGTTATAACTGTCAATGATTATAATGTATGCTTATATATACTGGAAGAGGAGATTGGACTGGAGGTCTGGATAGCGTAATTGGCAATGCATCTGCACAGTAAGTGGGAGTTGCACCTTCGGGTCCGGCTCGAGGTCTATTCTTTTCTTCCAGTAGTTCTAAATTATTTAAATTATTTAATTAAAATTATAATTATTAAATTTATCAAGAGATGACACCTAATGCCAAATTGTCGTGTAAATTATTAATATTATAGCTGTTTCTATCCAATAATATTTGGCCTTAGTTAGTGTATAGCTTTTGTAAAGTTTAAGTATTAGAACTATAAAGACAGCAATTCTACAACTGCATTTCATGCACAATAATATAATTTCAAAACATTATCTTTATGAAATAAAGACTGTTTATTTAAGAAAAATGTCACTGATTGACTACTACATGTACAGAAAATAGAGTTTGGTTTTCAGGGGTTGATTTCTCTGCCTCCAAATACATTCAAAAGATAATTATTTTCTTAAGTAGTGTGAAAAATTTCAAACCTTGCTATAAAGGGTTTGCCAAAATATAAGCAATCAGAAAGTGCAAAAAATGTGATAATGTTTTAAAAGTTATTTATATGATAAATATTTTTTAAGCAGACTAATTAATTTAAAATATAAGTAAATTAAACTTCACTCTGACACCGGGGATAAAAATTTTTGTGAAAGAAAGATTTTTTCACGCAAAATTACACCGGTAACAGGTTCCGTATTTAATTTAAAATATAGCTAATTATGAAATTGATGCATAACTACAGTATAGCATCGATTATCCAAAACAATTTGGGAATGGGGTTGTTCGGATAATTGATTATGTATAAAAAAATATATTAACCTATACCATGGTGAAATTTTTCTCTATTGCGTGTCACTTCACACTGAATTTTCATTGATGTTAAGCCTAATGAAAATTTTTTAAAATAATAATCGTGGCTATTGTATTGTTAAAAATTATTTCTTTATTTTGCACAAACAAAATAAATATATTGAAAAATATAAAAACAAAAATTATATTTCAGAGTTAATCTAGTATCAAAAATGTTCCAGTGCAGAAACAAATTACATACTTTACATAAAGTAGGCCTACACGATGGACTTGATAAAAAAGGCTTCCTTAGTGCCCATAGGGTGAAGAGTAAAAAAATATAACCTATTTGGATTCTCCATATTAAGTGTAAATGTGCAGACAAGTATTTAGTAATCTGTGATTAAGTTAAAAGATTTTATCACTTGATTTTATCACAATTATGTTAAATATGTCTGAAATGCAAAATTAACAATATGCTAAAGACAAAATTACATTTGAAAATTTTAATGAAAGAGAATAATCTCAAATATCTTAATTTTGTTTCAGTTTAAAATTTTGTATTTTCTCTGTACAGTCAAATAAAAGTTATAATATTATGATAATGTGTACAATAAAATATAACAATTTTTAGTCTTTGTACGATAAGATTTTTCCAATCTTGCAATGCACTATTAACTGCATAAACACTTGTCACTGTCTTTTGACATCAAGGCAAACTATTCTAATTTGTTTCTCTTTTCTGTGATCCAACAAAATTACTGATCTGGCAATAAGTCCCAATGATGCTGGACTAGTGATGGTCAATCTGTATAACAAATAATTTCAAACTCATTTATGTAACAAAATACAGAAAGTCCTCATTGTTCATTGCTCTGCCCTATTGTTATTTATTTCATCATTAATAAAAGATATGAACACTGATAATTGAAAATCTTGAATCATTCACTATTAATTAATATGAATTATACAGTGTGGGCCAAAAGTCACTTTACCATTTAAAAATTAAATAACTTTTTTGCTATTATTATATTTTATTTTATTTTCCAATTTTTAAAATACAAAATTCGAAAATAAATTATAAGTAAATTAATGACAGAACAACTAGAACAACATGTAAGTTTTATTTTGAATATCAGCACTCCATTATTCTTACTCAGAGAGCATACATTGATTTCCATTCAGATTTCTTTTTATGGGTATATTACAAACAGCAAGTGTTTATTAATAAGCCCTGAACTCTTGTGAGCTGGACAATATTCATCAGGAAATTCAAATGATAAACAGAGAGTGCCATAACTACTTGAAAGAGCTTGCCTTTGTGAAGAGGAAAACGAGGGTCATTTAAAAGATGTTATCTTTCATGTTTAGGCCAAAAAAATCTCTAAGATGTTAAAAATAATGTTAAAAAGAAACTTATAAAATAATTAAAAGTACCTTTCTTGTCTGCATTTTTTCTGTTCGTCTTCGGAATGCAACGTATGGATTATTCACAGTTGAACCATCTCTCTTTTCCGTCTTAACTTGAGGTATTAATGGATGTTGCTATATAATAAAAGAATAAATATATAGTAATGGATATCACTAAAAAATGAAAAAAATAATAAAATATACACCATATTTTCTTGATTCTAAGACACTCCATGAGTTTGGAATTATATTTTAACTTTTTTTTTCCTTGAGAGAGGACAAACAGTTTTAAATAAATTTGCTTAAGTAACAAAGTTACAAAAGCAATACAAATTCAATAAAATAGGTACTGTTTGGCAGCTCTCTTTCCATATTTTCCTGTATATAAAGTAACTATTCATTTTAATAATGCATCAAAATGTTATCTTGAAATTTTTTATTATTATTAAATTATTTTAAATGTTACAAAGGAATTTAAATTAAACACTTATATCAGTTCAAATGAGCTATGTTGATAACAACTGTTCAATGGTATAGCCAAAAACATATAATATTAAATCTTGGTTGCTTCTTGTTCTCTATTATATGTATTTTCTTAGCACAATGTTGCCGTTGAGAACATATCACACAGGAACACTTTCAGAGGAAAAAGGTTGTTTTATTGGTGTGACCTTTTTTCCTCTGAAAGTGTTTCTGTGTGATATGTTCTCAATGGCAACATTGTGCTAAGAAAATACATATTATATTGGTACATAATGCATCACACAGTCTGCTTGTTGTTCTGGACTGTGAATGTATAAGATGCCATCAATTTTAAAACTCCTCTTTAACCCCATGATGCACTAACCAACTATCCAGAGTGGCTAACAGCAGGACCCTATAACCTACTGCAGGAACTGTCTTCTTGCCACCATTATGGCTTTGGCAACAAGAGTGTAACCCCTCACTTTACTAGTTTTGGCATGAAGGCTATTGCTTCTAGGCCAGCACCAAATTGGCTAGGTCCAGATTTTCTCCTGGAAAACTGTTTCACCTTTACTGGATAAAAGGAGTCTTATGTGATTGCTATCAAAGGTAAAAATCTGAAGAACTACATTTGCTTCATTCTCTCAGCATTCAAACATTAATCCTACACCTTGAGGGAAAATGTAGAAGTTTGTGAGAAATACCTTAAGTTCCTGAGAATAAGCTTTTTCACAACCATGATTTCTAGTTGCCATACCAAAGCAGATCTTCAATCTGGAAGTTCTAGAATCTCTGTGGCTAGTCACAGATTTCACTCAAGGCACAGGAGATAAGCAATCATTTCATAAGTGATAATAAAACTGTAAACATGTCTTAGACTAGACTGCCAAAGCAAAAAGTCCCTACCAAGTGATGTCCATCAAGCGCTCATTGCCCACAAGTCCCTTTCTTCTATCAGCAGGACTATCAGCTTGCACCAGACAAGCTCAATCAGTTACACTCAACTTATCCTGTTCAAAGAAGAGGCCTCCCTTGGAAACCTGTATGTAGCAGTCATGCTGGCCAATCAAGTCCTCATCATGTGTATCAATGCTCATCAAAACAATTGGGACTTGGCAAGCAACTATAAAGTCCCAACAGTATTAGTCTCTCATTTTGATGTAAATCTTTAAGTTACTATGTTAAAATGCAACTTTTAACCATTTGTCCAAACAGAAATAGGTTCCAGTATGAGAAGAAATTTAAAAATCTCAACAGTAGGGCCACAGATAGGAATAGGCCCGCAAACAGCAAGAATTATTTGGCCTGATATACAAACAGAAATATCTATATATACCAGGTCTCTGATATTTCTGTATACCTTCTGGAACCTTAGACCTGAACATTGCACTTCAACAGTTGAGACCAAGAAACACCATTTGGGTTCCTAACTTGTCCATCTCAGATCACTAGGTCACCATTCCAGGACTGATTTCCTTATCTTGGAAGGCAGTTGACTGTAAAAGACATTACCATAGAAATGAGTTGGATGATTGGCTAGNAACATTGCACTTCAACAGTTGAGACCAAGAAACACCATTTGGGTTCCTAACTTGTCCATCTCAGATCACTAGGTCACCATTCCAGGACTGATTTCCTTATCTTGGAAGGCAGTTGACTGTAAAAGACATTACCATAGAAATGAGTTGGATGATTGGCTAGTTGATGTTTCTTGGCACAAGAGCCATATAGACTAAGGTCACCATGTCAATTGTTAAAATTGTAAGACAATAAATAAATATAGATTATATATGAAATGGAATGTATGTAATGTCACGTATGCAATGTTAATAAAAAAAACCATAACAAGAATATAAAATGATACAAGTAAAAAATACAGCAGGGTATATAAAAGTATTAATAAAATAAAAATAAATAAATAATCAAATCTCTTTATACATATTAGTGATTTTCAGAAAATCCAGTAGTTTTTCAAGATTTGGTCTCTGGTCCGAAATTTCCAACAAACTTACAATTCCAAAATGCTGTCTACAACTTCTCTCAAAAGCAGATAACCTACAAAGTCAGAAAAAGCATGTTCTTGGTCATGCTCAAGTACACTAAATAATCTGTAATGTGCTGGCAAGACATTCATTATGTCAACAAAATGGCATAATGAATGTCTTGGCAGTTCAGCACCAATCACAAGACTGCCAGAAAAATGATCAATCTGCAACATCTCTTGCAGCACAAGCAGGAAAGCAACTAGTTTCTCTTCTAAATTATGAAAAGGAATGAAAACGAGATCCACTATTTCATTCCAGACTAAAAATTTCCAGTAAGTGGAAGTACCCGTACACAGGTTTCCTGGCTGAAAAGTTCAAGGTGACCTGGTAAGCAGACAACATTCTTCTCACATGTTCTAGCTTTGAGTGCTACTGTTGGATTTCCTGAAAAGTAAAACCATAAATACCAATCAGATCTAACACACTGGTAGATCTGATTGTTATTTATGCATAACATATTGTTATTGGGCAGCATAACACACTGGTAGATGTGATTGCTGCCATTCAATGAAGAAATATAGAAATGATGGGATAAGACAACACAATACATGGATGATCTGCCAAGATTGATTGGTTTGGTTTGTTCAATTTTATTTGCACAAGAGCCATACAGGCTATATAGCATCATGACACATGATACAATTTGTACAAAAAATAAATAAATAGATAAATACATACCATACAAAATATAATGATTTAACTGTCAGAACAACATTGGCAAAAAAATTTCAGAATCTACAGTAATACCCCGAACTTACGTGATAGGTGGGACAGAGCGGTAACCGCGTAAGTCGAATTCGCATAAGTTGGAGTATAATTTCGCATATAAATACATACAAATAATTTTTAATTAAGGCTGGAGACTAAAGAAAACAATTTAGAAAAAAATGTTTAATAAAATTTTAGATAATACATATGTATAACAAATTAGGCCTATATTATTTTACAATTTTTCACATTTACTTGATTATTACGCCATAATTTTAACATTGTTTCCATCTCAGCGATAATACTGTGACGTTTACGAATGATGCTTGAATTTAAAGATTGAGCATTTTTCACAGCTTCGAGAATTTTTTCTTTGCCTTTTATAATTGTTCTGACCGACAATTCCGGTAGATCAAACTTCTTTGCCAATTCACAAATTTTCATTTTTGTATCGAAGTCTTTAATAATAACAAGTTAAACGCGTTAGTAACGAATCATTCGAAAAGTCTAACGAAATAGGAATAACGATGACTTCATTCTCGCTTAACTCGTTCGACTTTACGAACATACCCAATGTTAACTTTACATTCCAAAGATAAAGTTTTTCTTTTCTTGTTTGATGCAGAAGAATTAGTTCTACTTCGTTTGGATGACACAGCAGAGTCTCTTGAGTCTCCGTAGATATAACAAACACAGAAATAAATAACACAAAATAAATTGTAGCTATGTGTGGATTCCGTGCGACACATCCGAACATGTAAGCTGAACAATAGTATGGGGGAGTGAGTAATCAAGGGTTGCGTGGCGCTCAAACAAAAGACGAATCAACGAGATTTGAAAATCGCATAACTCCGAGTTCGCGTAAGTCAGGGTAGCGTAAGTCGGGGTATTACTGTATACTAAATAAATAAATAATGATTAATCAGATTTCTTTGTAACAATTAACAACTTTCAGAAAGTTCAGTAGCTTGTCAAGATTTGGCCTGTGGCCCAAAATTCTTGGCAAACTTCTATTTCCAAACTGACTTGTGCAAGCATCCTCAAATTCAGGGCATTCACACAGTATGTGTCTAACACTTAGAGTACAATTGCAACTGTGGCATACTGGCTGGTTATCACCCTTCAAAAGGTATTGATGAGTGAACTGAGTATGTCCAATCCTCAGGTAAAAATTACTACAGATCTCCTTTCATAAACATCAAATGTCCAATTTCTACCAAAGGTTTGATCTCATGTAGTTTATTATGGACTTATGCATTCCACAAGTTTTGCCATCTCTCTTCTAGTCATTTTTTAACAACTAGCTTCAAGTTGCCTCATTCAAAAGGCATTGCATGCTGTAAAAGACTTGCTGACTTTGCTGCTGTGTCAGCTTGTTGTTCCCTCTTATACCCATGTGGCCTGGGACTCAACAAAATTTTAGGGAAATTACTTGCAAAAAAATGGCAAATCAGTTTATGAATTTTAAACACTATGGAGTGAGAACTAGGTTCAAATGAGATCAAAGCCTGAAGTGTACTTGTACTAACTGAGTCAGTGTAAATCATGCAGTAACATTGCCCTTTTCTATTTATAAGCTTTTAGGCTAATTGGATAGCCTGAATTTCTGCAGTGAAGATGGAAGAATTCAATGATATTTGATTCTGTCATAATTTCATCCTGACAGATAAAGGCTGATCCAATGTAATTATATGATTTACATCCATCAGTGTAAACAGGAATTAAATTTCTATGGTGGTGTTCAATTTCTGCAAAGTGCTGTCTATACACATAATCTGGAGAAATTCTTTAGGAAACTGCTTTAAGCTAAGATTGACTTTTGTCAGAGGAATTGACCAAGGTGATATACTATCAACCTAGGGCTGTGAAATGTTGCTTGTGTCCAGTTCAAGCATGCTGCTTACTTTCTCCATTCTT